TTGTTCAGAAGAAGAGGATGCGAGCACTGGAACACTGCAAATAAAACTCCTGTTCCAGTGATCGCATCTTCTTCTTCTGAACTGATTCCTGGAACTCGCATGTTCTCTACTATTGGCAAGGATTTTTCTATAGATCACGAAGGTCAGTCAGACACCGTCAGTATTGACCATTTCAAACAGGCTTACGTTGAAGACACGGAACCGATATCAACTCCACACAGCGCCCAGCCGCAGACAGTGACGCCATCACCACCACCAACTGGAGAAACCTCGCCTCCGATTCGTCACACAGGTCTGGCTGTCGTGTTCACTCGTCCGACAGATTTGTGGCTGGCTAGAGTGTCAACGCCTACACCTCGTTTGGCGTCTGGGGGAGTTGTGGCAGCTGTCCCAATGTCCTAACGATAGCTGTTCTAGTGTCTCCTTCTTCCCCTGCTTCCCAACGGCTGCGACAAGCTTGCTAATTAACAGATGCTCCAACAAAGCACGACCGCCCCAGACTTGACCTCAGCATAGTCAAGGCCACATGTGTAGGCAGCGCGCACCTAGCGCGCATTGGCCAGCCTGCCTCCTCAACCATAGTTCTTTGTGTCCATGTTCCCCTGACTGTCTGCAATCAGACACCCCACACGTACTTCACCGTTCTGACAGGAACAATGGAAAACGCTTACACAACACGCCTCTTCTGACAAGCTCCCAGACGGAAGCTTTTATCTCTCGCAAGCAAACAGTCTATTCGCGGCAACTTGCCTTGTGTACGAATAAATTGTTCCTAACATTTGACTACCCTCTTCTATCAGACGGAGTACTGATAATGTAGTGGTTATAGTAGATCGCACATCCTTGACCGCCACAAGCTCTCGCAAGTAGACGTTAAAAGGCGTCGAACTGAGCAGAAAGTCTTGAGGAACGCTGCAGGTCTGCTTATGGGGCTTAGAAGGAGCGCCGCAAAAAAGGAAATGGTCGTGACGGCCACAGATATAAGCCGCAAGTCATCGGACTAGGCCAGTTGGGAGGTCAACAGAGACCAAGTCCCGCAGGAACCGATCGTGGCGGACGCAGTCGAAGGCTCGTGACAGGTCAATTGAGACTACCACGGTTGATTGAAGCCCTCGAGGATGGCGTCGCTGAGCTCAAAAATCGCCGTTGTTGTACAACAACTATGTTGGTGGCTAGACAGATCCGCTGCAGACGTCAGAATTGGGTGGAATCGTT